GCAGAAGCCCTGGGCCGAGCGGATCCCCAGATGTGTGATGGGACCCTGCGGAGCAGAATGCGGCATTCAGAGGACCAAGAGGGCCTGGGCATAATTAGAACATTTCCTCCCAAATCCAGCAACTGAAGTTTCAAATTGTAAAGAACCGTCACTGGTGAAACAGCGGATGATACTGAATTTTTTGTCACAAAGCGAAGTTCTACTTGACTGAGCATGCTAATTGGGGCCCCATTGTTGCGTTCTCTAAATCCATTGTCATCGATTTTCTACAACCCATCCCTTCTTAAAATCATAAAAACGTTAAAACTAGTTGGAAGAGAATTCAGACATGGCTGCAACCCAGCCCTCTCGTCTTACCCTTGAACAAATGGAAGCTTAGAGAAGTTGTGAGTTGAATAGGGAAATTCACAGCAAATACATGGTTGGAGCCAAGATGGGTCAGCCCTGTAAGGGTCAGGCTGGGGCATCTAGTGTCAGGCGCCACACTGTACCTCCATTTCTTCTGTGGCTTCAGCTGGGAGTCACAGATCAGACTGATGGATAAAGGACATTTCATTTTTGTTTTTTGTTTTTGTTTTTGTTTTTCTTGCCAGTCCTGGGGCTTGAACAGAGGGTCTGCTGTCTCTGAGTTTCTTTTGTTCAAGGCTAGCACTCTACCACTTGAGCCACAGTGCCACTTCTGGCTTTTCCTGTTCATGTGGTACTGAGGAGTCAAACCCAGCGCCTCATGCATGCTAAGCAAGCACTCTACCACTAAGTCACATTCCCAGCCAGCAAGAGTCTTAATAACAAGCGTAACAATGCTTATTGCTTAGTTATTTGAAAGTGCTTCTTCTTCTTAAGGTGTCATGAAGATATTTTGGAAAATTCCAGCAAAGTATTTTGACTGGGGGAAATGCTCACTAGACACTATGTTAAAAATGAACCACACAACTTGTGCATGGGGATGGGAGAGAAAAACCAGGACTGACCCTGTCCAAAGAGAAATATACTCTTTACCTGATCTATGTGACTGTAACCCCTCTGTCCATCACCTTTATAATAACAATAACACATTAAGTATTCCTTAAAAACTGCAGCCAGCTTTTAATAGTAGTTAAGATTATTTCAGCCAATGTGCCTATGTTGTGGCCATTCCAATCTGTGTATTATCTACTTGGTATTACCTTCTTATGGTTCTGCTGAGATTAATTTATGTCCCAAGCACTAGAGCTTTTCTGTCTGGGCCCTAATACTCTTCTTTGGTGACTTCCTTCCTTTTTTTTATGCCAGTACTCAGGCTTGAACTAAGTGTCTCTTGCTCTTACAACCTTCTTGCTCCTAGTTGGCACACTGCCACTTGAGCCACGCCTCTAGCCTGGCTTTTTGCTGGTTTTTTTGGAGATGGAGTCTCTCTTCTCTTCCTGGGCTGGCTTCAAATCTCACTTCTCTAATCTCAGCCTCCTGAGTAGTTGGGATTACAGGCACGAGCCATTTAACCTTGGCAGCTCCCTTTTTTAAACAATACCCTGTCCTGAGTTCTGCTGTGGTGCCTGTGAACTGTATGGTGCTGTTTACATGATAAACATTTTCTAACGTTGGCTGGAAGACAGATTTGAATGTTGACTTCTTTTTATTTTCATTATGCCTGAGAGACAGAAATATCTGTAGTTCAGAAAGCAGATTAGCTTGTTTGTGTGTTTATTTTTGACTTTGTTTATTTCCTCTCTTCTAGCTTGAATGGAGTCTCAAAACAAAACAAAATATCACATGTATATACCAAAAGGCTGGGAGAGGTTTGGCACATTGAGTGTGAGGTGATTGTTTGGGAACACAAAACGGAGTCCTAAATCACATTTAGCATAATTTGTGGGTTTAAATTGGGCTGATTTAACAAGGAGAGTGAAATAATCTCTCATCCTGTCAAAAAAAAAAGCGATACCTTTAGAGCAGCATTTAATTGCATTGGCAGAGTAAGTTTGGGGAGGCGGCAGTAATTCTGGCCACATTATTCTTGGTTTGTGGCTAAATTGAGATCATCATTTTCTCCTGGTCTCACTAACTTTCTTCATTGCTCTTTGAACTAATCAGATCACCGCAGTGAGAGGAAGTTTAATGGTAGCAGGAAGGTGGACAGGAAGTAAGGGTTGGCTGTCAGGTAGCAGCATTTTGCCACTGTATGGTCTGGGGAAGAAACAGCTGATCCTGAAGATAAAATCTATCTCTCTCAGTAGTCCTGGGATTGAACTCAAATGTTATACTACTTGAGCCCTGCTCCTAGTACTTTTGCTTTTAGTTTTCACTTTAGATAGTCTCCTGTTGCCTGGATAGTTTTGGAATGTGATCCTCCTACTACCACAATGGCTGACTTATTTTTAAGATAAGATCTCATGCTTTTGCGGACTTTGAACCATGATCTCCCTGTTTCTGCCTACTGAGTGACAGTGATTACAGGCATGCACTAGCACATCCTTATTCATTGTCTTGAGTGTTTTGTTTTGTTTTTAATGTGAAGTGAGCATCATTTATTTGCACCAAAGTGTGAATACTTTGAATATGCTTTTGCGGCCACATTATGCAATTCAGATTCAAATACATTTGTATTAGTACTAGAATCAATCTTGGAGGTAATTCTCAGCTGCCTAGACTATTCCATGAAAACAGGCTGTTCTAGGAACAGCTACTTCCAGAACTAATACAAGACCCAGTCCCTGGAGCACTGTCCCCTGCCATGGGTCTTAGTCCAGACTGATTTGATGTTCTTCACACTCCTTCCTTCCAATGAAAGTCTTTCTGCTAAGTCTTCCTGCTAGAAGGAATCAGGCCCTCAATAACTTAGATGATCCATCACACCACACAAATGAGGGTTTGAAACTGTCGCAAAGCATAGACTGTCCTCTTCCCTTGTCCTGTGTGCCTGGGGTCTATCAACTGGGTTGACATTTTAGATGTACAATTTGAATTCCCTTCGTAGGTGTGCACAGGGGTTCCTGACTGTGCCTTCAGGCTGGATTGGCAGCAGGCAGGCTGGCTGGCTATCCCAGCCATCTGGGGATGAAGGAAAGGAGGGTTGGGGGTGGGGAGGTACATGCCACCTGTGCTGATGTGAGGCACAGCACACTTGTGCTAGACTCAGTGTCTGTGCAAGTGCTTTCCTCCGTGACCTGCGCAGTCTCCTCATTAGGGTTCACTTAGCCACGCACGAACTCCTTGACGCCTACAGAAAGTTGTAGAAAGACCGAATAAGGAAATAACAGTCTGTTTCAAAGTCTTCCTGCTGCCAACTTTTAGCTCTGGACAGTTGTCTGTCTCTCACTATCCTCGGGAGGGGAAGTTTAATTCCAGGAGTTACTCAGATACCAAAGTTCAATGATAGGCACTAAAAATGGCACAGTATTTACGTAGAAATTATGCATATTATAATCTAAACCATCTATACATTACTTGTAATATCCAACACTATGTAAACATTACGTAGATGTCATATTGCATCATTTAGGAAATACTGACAAGAACAAATATGTAATATTCAGTATGGCATGCATTTATCTCAGCTATTTTTGACCCAGAGTTGGTTGAATCTATGCATTTGGAACTACAGATTTTGAAAGCCTACTCCATTTTTTTTTTTAGTGCTGGTTCTGGGGCTTGAACTCAGAACCTGGGTGCTGTCTTTGAGGTTATTTTTTTGCTCAGGGTTAGTGCTCTACCACCACTTGAGCTACAGCTCCATTCCTAGCTTTTGAGGGAGTTAATTGGAAATTAACTTTCTTGCTTATACTGTCTTCAAACCATAATCCTCAGATCTCAGCCTCCTGAATAGTTAGGATCACAAGCATGAGCCACGGGAGCCCAGCTCCTACTGTACTTTTGAGGTGATGATGCCTTTGGTTTTTAATTTTGTGTTTGCAGTCGTTCACTATAGGTAGGGAAAACCCTTGTACCACCAGCTTAGAGGACTATTTTCACCTTTGATCTGCATACCACTATTCATAGCATGTTAGTGAGTTGGTTTTTTGTGTTTCTATATAATAACAATGTATTGAGCAGTTGTTAATCTGATGTAACCTCTGTGTGTGTGTGGTGTGTGTGTGTGTGTGTGTGTGTGTGTGTGTGTGTGTGTGTGTGAGAGAGAGAGAGAGAGAGAGAGAAAGAAGAGAGAGTGAGAGAATGTGTGTGTTTGCATCTGTATCGATCAAGGCAAATTAGTTCAGAGGCCAGAGTCAGAAACTAGATAGGTTAAATATCTTCTCATTTACAGCTGAGCATAAATTGTGATTTAGTACAATGCTAAAGAAGGCTAGCTCTTCATGTGTAGACTGATTTAAGAAGTCTGATGATACCCTCATTTAGGCAGGAATCTGGGTTTGCTGTTTCCCTTCTGGTGGAGATGCAAGGAAGTAAAAGAAGGCAGTGATTGCACTTATAGCTCTCTGATCATGGAAAGCATGCACTCTGTGCTGTTCACTTACAGGCTGTTTCTGGTAGAGAAATTCCTCTTTGTCCCCTGCGTCCTACCTTTCTGTCCCTCTGAGGCAAAGTATGACAAGGACGTTTACCTAATTGTAGAAGAAATAGTCTGGCTTCTACTTGGTGGAGAGTTACATGTACAAAAATTGTACAACTGCTGGGTACTAGTGGCTCACACTTATAATCCTAGCTATTCAGGAGGCTGAGATCTGAGGCAAGGTTAGAAGCCAAACCAAGAAATCAATTCTACAAGACTCTTTATTTCAAATTAAGCAGCACAGAGCCAGAAATAGAGATGTGGCTCAAGTGGTAAAGCACACCAGCCTTGAGTGAAAAAGCTAAGTGAGAACACAAGGCCCCGAGTTCAAGCCCTAGTACCAGCAGACACAAGCAAAAATGTACAAGACCCAAATAGGACTCTCATGTGAATTAGGTGATCTCATATTGGAGTTCCACTTCTCATCTGAAGTGGAAACAAAATGTGCTGCTAGCCCCCCTTGCAAGGTGTTGTGACTTCCTGAATTCACAGTTGGCATTTTTCTTCCCCATAGCTGTGCCCCCAAACATAGCAGAACTGAAGAATTTGGAGGTGCTCAACTTCTTTAATAACCAGATTGAGGAGCTGCCCACACAGATCAGCAGCCTTCAGAAACTCAAACACCTAAACCTTGGGTGAGTACCGGAGGAGGGCGTAGGAAGCCAGGGCCAGTGGGAGAGCTCAGGGTGTGGGCAAGGCAGAGGCACCATTCATATTACTTCATGGGAGAAGTGGATTTCTCATTTCTTTTTATGTTTTGGGTAGTTCTTTTGGTTGTTTTTTTTAAAAAGAGGTTTATTGTTTTAATATTTTCTTTCAGTGGCCTCTGTTACTGCATTATCTATTGGAGAACTAATTGAGAAGCTAATTGTTAGGGCAATAAAGGGAGGTTTTTGGTGTGTGTGTGTGTTTTACTGTGTTGTTTCTAATAAAATTTTATTCCAGTTATGTCCATCAAGAAGGGACTTACTTGCCTAGCATTATCTGTTCAGATAAATGGTAAAATGTATTAAGTATTAAGTAGAAATCATTTATAAAATGTTTTCTTCTTAGACATTGCATATTATCTAACACTTCCATTAAAATGACTACAATCTAGTAATTCTAGATTGTAGGGAGGTTGTACTCTTTTCTTTTTCCTTATGGAAAGGTGAAGAGAGAGGATTACCATTTCAGCAGAGGCTGAAGAACCAGGTAGCAGTAAATACTAATTATAGCTTGGATTCATATATTGCTTTGTGGTTTCCGAAGTCCTCAAGCAAGCATTTGAAGAGCAGACTTTGTGGTCTATTGCACAGAGAAGCCACGCGGCTGGTTATATGGCTGTGTGACTGGCTTCTGATGACCTCTGAGGTCAGCTTCTGGGGGAGGGAGAGAACCCATTGGTTTGGGTTGACATGTTTGCCATTAGATTCTGTAGAGGCCACCCAGAACTGCTGCTTCTGAATTCCATCTTCACTGTGGTGGATGGGATTGCCCATGCGTGCCTTCTTCTCTGGGTAAAGTAATGTATTGACTACATGGTGGCTACTTCATGCGTTACTTAAGTTTACACTCTACAAGGACTAGTAATAGAAGCTGGCCAGGTATTTATCACTTTAATAGAAAGCACTCATGAAAACAGCTATCATCCATGAGATGACTCTTGCTTCATGCATTTTTTACTAGGAGTTTGGTTCAGCCTTCTTTTTTTTTTTCTATTGCGGCCTAACCAATGACCTCAACTGTATTTATAGTGAAAGTGATAGCAATATACTTAAAAAAAACCCTTATTATTAAATAGTTGTACAAAGAGGTTACAATTCCGTACATTTTTATATTGAAACTCTCTGGCAAGGTCCCAGAATATTCTTTTCCTATTGTGTGAGAGCAAGCAGGGAGAGGAGGGAATGACCTCAGCAAATGGGAGAGTTTTTGCCTTGCTGACTAGAGTATTATATCCCTATTTAGAAAAGCAGAAGAGAAAGCATCTACATGGTTTTCTTAGTTTGGAAGATTATCAAAGTCTTATGTTTAAATTGATACGTAAGAAGGTAAAATTATATATTGACATATATTCATCCTGTCAGTTTGTTCATTTATTAAATGTAATAGATCTATTTCATTTGGTTTGGGATAAGAAAGGCAAGGCATTAGCTATTATGGTCATCATCATTGTGTTGGTAGAGACCAAAAGTGGAAAAGTTAGGGTGAAGGCCTTAATCATGGGGCCATAAAAGGAAAAGAAAAAGAAAAAGTAACAAGGCAGTAATGAATGGCATGGGATGACACCTGGATTTTCATGTTGGGCAGCTAAAATAGAAACGTGAAGCCAAGTTTGGGATGAGGATAATAAGCTCAGGGTTTGCTCAGTTGGTAAGTGAGGTGTTGAGGACAAACGTAAACTTGTGAAACATATTAGTTTCCTTCCTGATCTTCATTGCAGTTGTTTGCATTTTGGCTGTCAGGGCTTTATTGATTAGGGAAAGCTTCTTGTATTTAATTATGTAGACTCGTAGCTGGAGTTGTCAAAGTTTGAACCCAATTTTGAGCTCTTTGGGAAAAGAATTAAAATGAGCTTCAATAAAGGCATTTCTGTCCTCGAATGCCATAAGGAATTATACATGGACACAAAGGCAAGTCAAGGTGAGGCCAGTTGTGAGGTGGGTTCCTTCAAGAGTCAGCATAAAAAGAAAGCAGAGGAGTTAAGCCACACGTATTCACATTCCAAAAGGTATACACAGCCAGAGTGTGTTTCTAAGTACATGGAGTATTCAATGTTGAGTCTGATGACCTAGAAGAATTTTAGGTCATCTGCATAAACAAAAGAAAGTTTTGTTATGTTCATAATTCTTAAGATATAGTTCATGCCATAAAGGTGTTTTCCAAATGTTGGGACATCAACAATTTTCAGGATAATTTTCTCTGTAGAGTACCATGCCCCCCTACTCTTCGCATCTAACTTTCAACCAAACTTATTGCTAGTGTTCACCATGTGAACACTTAGTGAAAAAAATGAAATACATAGCTTAATGGAGAATCCTGGGTAGTATGAGCTCTCATCAGTTTCACCATGACTGCTCATGGAGTGAAGTCTGCTGTGAAATCTACCTGGGACTTTTTCTAGCCAAGAGATGGAAGTCTACTACCTTCTGCTATAGGTCACATCTTGAGAGACCTGATTAGTTGATTGGTCATGTCTTGTGAGACCTGATTGGTTGATTGGTATCTTGTGAGCCTGATTGGTTGATTGGTAGGAGTGGACAGAATTGTTCGTTAGAGGAATTAATGACTAGAAGTTTTTGTTGTTGTTTTTTGTTTTTTACTGTCATGGTCTCCTACTCTCCAATATCTGTCAACTTATTATTTTTTTCTATGGAAAATAGCCATTGAAGTGCATTAGAAAATATGACCATTAAAGAGGGTTTTTTTTTTTGTTCAAATATTTTACAAACATACAGATTCTCTCACTAAAACTCTTGGAGTGAGTAAGACATACTACATGATCATTTATATGGGGGGGGGGGGGGTAAATAAACTAAACTCACAGAAGTAGAGAAAAGTGGCCAGGTGGGTGGAGGAGTGGGAAATGTAATTTAAAAAGATGCAAAATTCCAGTTAGACAAGAGCGAGTCATAGCTCTCTTAGAAATCATGGTGACTACAGTTAGTAGCGAGATATAGTACATCTGAAACTTGCTAAGACAGTAGATTTTTAAAAATTATCTCACTGCAGAAAAAAGTGAATTTATATACATGCTGTACAGCTTGATTTAAATGTTCTACATTGCATATGTCTATTGAAACATTCTAAGAAGTCAAGTGCCAGTTGCCCAAGCTTGTGGTCCCAGCTTTTCTGGAGGCTGATATCTGAGGATTGTAGTTTCAAGCCAGCTTGATCAGGACAGTCTATGAGACTTTTACCTCCAGGTAGTCACCCAAATAAAGCCAAAAGTGGAACTGTGGCTCAACCTAGCCTTGAACTGTGAAGCTAATCGTAAAGCATCCAGGCCCTGAATTCAAGCCTCAGAACTGAGGCACACACACACACACAAAATCATGCTATAGATACACTCTTAGTCTATATAATTTTTACTGTTGAAGAAATAAACAAATGAGTAAAATAACATAAAGCAAACGTGGAATCACAGCTCTCTTAGGCTCTCTGCCTGTCAAATAGTATTTAGGGTGAACACTCAGAATTCTGTATTAACTCCTTTTGTGTGATGACTTGTGTATGGCTTCTGTCTTCCCCCAACAGCATGAACAGGCTGAACACCCTGCCTCGAGGATTTGGCTCTCTTCCAGCTCTTGAGGTCCTGGATTTGACTTATAACAACTTGAATGAACAATCTCTCCCTGGAAACTTCTTCTACCTTAGTAAGAAACTGCTTAATTGTATAAATCTCCTTCACATGCTACTTTGAGTCCTCATAGAAAGAAATTTATTTGCCAGGGCCCAAACTCTTTAAGAGAAATTATTAGGCATTTATATTTTGTTCTTCATAGATTCCTTTTGAATATTCCTTCATAGCTCAGCAGTATTTATACTTGATATATAGTTTTCTGACACTGCTGGGCAGAAGTGGTCTTAGTAATGTCATATTAACTTTCTAAGAGAGGTTTTCTTCCCAAATGAGGTAAAAATCTCACCTTTAGCTAAGAAACTTGATTTTTTTTTATTTTTTAAAGGAGTATGCCAAAGAAAAGCAAGAAAAAAGAAAACATTCTCTCCAGTTGCTGTTAATTCTTTGTACAACATTTTCTATTAGATATTCCAGATAATGACTTGCAAAAATATCCATTAATAAGTTGCCAACAGGATTTTAAGTAATTCCATCCAGAATTTGTGTTTTAAGCCTTTAAGAAAGTGCACTTATTGATGTGGTCATTTTGTCCAGTATATAGACAAACATTAAGAAATTGTTAGTCCTAGATGCATATTTTCATATGCAAATAAGCCTCTGGCAGCAGGTACTTCTAAATATTAGGAAAAACTGACTTTCTGAGAACTCTGAAATGTTCATGAAAAGGTTACGTCCCTGAAATGAATATTCTGCTTCTCTAAACAGTGATTTCTGTGGCATTCAGGAAATATGAATATTCTGAGCTAACCTCTATAATCTTATTTTTTAGCCTGTGTACACTACCTTTTCTAGACTTTCTCAAATACCTGAAAGTAACTCTAAAGATTTTTTTTGGGGGGGGGTTGCTATATGTATTAGCTTATAGTTTTATTGAATTTTAAAATACAGGAATGAAATTAAATACTTGTAATTTAAAAAACTACACAACTATTTATAGTCCCCTGTCTTTTTGTTTATTTCTGAAATACTGGGTTTTAGAATTCATTTTTATTGTAACCCCTCTGTACGGTATTTCACAATAAAGTTAAAAAATAAAATTCATTTTTACATTTTTTATTCACATTAACTAGCATTACAAGAGAGGTTCATTTGTACAGGTCCACATATGTGTATGATACACCTTGATCAGACTTACCTCCTCTTCCAGTGCCTCTCATCTCTCGTCTCCTTTCCCCAAGCAATCTCCATAAGCTTCACTGTTCTACACAGGCAGGACTGGGGTTTGAACTCAGGGCTTTGTACTTTCTAGGCAAGTGTTGTGCACTTGAGCCACATTCCAGTCCTAATCTCCCACCTTTTGTTGTTGTTATTGAGGACAAATAATTTTTGCTTCAGGAGTATGGCTTCCCTCCTGCATGCTGAATATTGGAAACAAAGGATTTCCTGGTATTCTGTTTAATTTTGGCTTTACTCTCTTAACTCTACCGTTTTCTCCCCTTTGTCTTCATATCACTTTGGTCATGACGGCTTGTAGAAGTAAGTAACAGTACGTAGGGTGATTAGGAGAGTGATGGACTGTGCTTATGGCTTCCATCACTGGCACACCTTCAAAATATTTATTTATTTTGAGCATCGTTGTGTTTTGAGCATTGCTTCTGCTTCTAGGAAAGGGCCCTTTTGTTCAATGGATTGATGTCAACGTCACAGTGGCTCTGTGTTGTTTTAGTCTGGATGCCAAAAGTCATGAATATGAACCGGAAGTAATTGAGAAAAATAGCTGTCTTTTCTGAAAACACATCACAACTGTGCCAAAAAAACGCCGGTGGGCACCCTTGCTAATTGTGTCAGTCCTCTTGGATAAAGATGTTTTCCTTGGACACACCAGCCACACAATCAGCCAGTAAATCTAAGTTTGACCTGCTTGTTATTATAGTAAGCCCCAGGTATGTCACCGACTTCTCGCCAAGCCCAGGTTATTTATCAATGCTGACTCGTTCGTATTGATCAGACCTCAAAACGGTTGGGTTCTGTGCCACTCTGTTTATATATTGCTGTTTAATTTGCAGCCACCCTGCGTGCACTCTATCTAAGTGACAACGATTTTGAAATCCTGCCTCCAGATATCGGGAAGCTCACGAAGTTGCAGATAGTAAGTAATTTATCTAAATTCTTAGAAAATCAATTCACTCCTGCAGCCCCTGTAGGAGTCGAATCAAGTCAATTTGAGCAGGAGTAAGGTTTGTTTTGCAAGAATGAACCACTACTCTTGATCCTGTTTCTTGTTTAGCCGGAGACACTCGTAAAATAAATTGTAGAGATTGTGCCTCAGAGAGAGAAAGGGCAGAAGAGAGGATGGGGGCAAGTGGATCCCGTGGAGCACCTCTTTAGGAGAAAATTGTTTTTGACAAGTCCTTGTTTTCTTATCCTTAGCTCAGCCTTCGGGATAACGACCTAATCTCACTGCCAAAGGAAATCGGGGAGCTGACCCAGCTTAAAGAGCTCCACATTCAGGGGAACCGCCTGACAGTTCTGCCCCCAGAATTAGGTACAGTACTGGCGAATGATCTCAGTTCTGGGTTTTATTAGTATTCATCTTTCCCAGTGCAACAACTCTGGACAGCAAATTGACTGTTCTGAAGAGCATTGGTCACCGGCTAGAGTCCAGCTGTTACGGATTTGCGCCATCCTGATCGTATGTCCTGCAGCTCTAGTGTACACAGCATCCTAGAAAACGCTGGTGAAGCAGGGCCCCTCCCTGCAGGAGGTAGTGAGAAAACAAGAGATTAGTAGTCGTGATCTTATCTATGGTGCCTCTTTTACTAGCTGGGCGAGGTTCTTTGTTTTGAAGGCAGGGGTTCACTGGGTTCCTCCATTCCCATTCCTCTTGCCTCTCTGCCTCCCTGCCTCCTATGCTGGTCCTACCTCAGGCTTCTGAGAGCTGGGATTGCAGCCATGTACCACCATGCTTGGTTGCTTTCTGAGTTCTGATTAGGTTGTTAATAACTTTTTTTTAAATTTAATTTAATTTTTGTGAACATACTGTACAGAGGGATTACAATTACATGGGCAGGATAATGCGTACATTTCTTATCAAGCATTGCAGCCTCCTCCTTTGTTTACCCTTCACATCCCTTCCAAGCTTCTCCCCCCCACCCAATCCTCCCCCCTTCCCCTCCCCCCCCCGTTGTTAATAACTTACATAAGAGCATCATTCTATATTAACCTGTATATATACACACACATACATACATATATATAATTTTTTGCCCTCCCCTTTCCCCTCTGAAAGTTTTACTAATTAGTTTTTGTGACAAACATTTGAAATTGTCTTTTTGAGTCATGAACTCAGTTCTCTCCTACAGGGAGAATTGTTCCAGCAAGTTCTTGCTGGAAATTCTTCCATCCTGTTGCTGGTGGCTGACCCTTGGTTCCCTGTGTGGCCAAGAATGTGGTTCTGGTAGATGTCGCTCCTCCCTCCCACAGAGAGTCTTCCCACCAGTAATTCCGTTGCTGAGTTGGGGGTCCCCCTTCCTCACAAGGCTCATGAAGTCATTTAACTGTTCCCTGCCTCTCTGCCCCCGAATCCTTGGAACCCATGTCATTTGCACAAACTGCCCTTGTTTGCTTTTCTGCAACAAAATACCATAATGTAACCACGTTGCATTGAACGCACATGTCCTTGAGAAAGCAGTTCTTCAAATGCATCTGATGCTTTGGTGCTTTTGAAAAAGCCAGCCGTGATCAACCCTGTGTGGAGGGTTATTTCTGTCCTGTTCCTTGTTATAACCTCAGGACCTACTGCATGTCCGGCAGGTAATAGAGGCTCAAAGAAAAGTTACTGAGTGAGTTGATGAAGTGAATATGTGTGGTAAGGTGCCAGGAAGGCCAAGCTCAATGTTTGCCTTCTGCCTAGAGCTACGCTATCTGGGTACAGAAGTCATCAAGCACAGTGTCCACGGTCCACAGTTTCCTGTGACTCATGCTTGTCCTGGAGGACAGCATTCTCATTGGAGTGGGGTTTTGGGAAGCAATAGTCTATAAGAGAAGCAGTCACCCAAATTCATGGTATGAATGAAAGTTTTACCTCCGTTTTTTTCTCCTATATCCTGTAGCTTGGTTGTTGGGATCAGAAGTCCAGAGAATTTTTTTTTTTAACTCTAGTTTCTACATAAAAGAGAAAACATGTAGTATTTCTTTTTCTGCATCTGGCTTATTACACTTAATAGGATACTGTCAAGTTCCATCCATTTTCCTGCATATGACATAATTTAGTCCTTCTTTATGGCTAAGTAATGCACCATTGTGTCTATATACTCCATTTTCTTTACACGGGACATGGATCGTTAGCTAGTTTCCTATCTTAACGATTGTAAATAGTTCTGCAGTAAACCTGGTTTGCAGATATCTTCTGTTATATGCTGATTTATGCTTCTTCAGGTATTTGCTCATGAGTAGGGTAGCAAGATCTTATATGCTAGTTCTATTTTTAGCTGGTTTTTTTTTTTTTTTGAGAATCTTCCATACTAATTTCCATAGTGTTTGTACTAGTTTACATTTCTAGTATGTACAAGGGTTCCTTTTTCCTGTATCCTCTCCAGCATTCATTGTTTCTTGATGGTTGCTCTTCTGACTGCAAAGGCCTGCATTTGAAGAAGAGGAAGGAATATGTTTTACCTAATCCTCACTCAGGAAGGGGAAGCAGCCCCAGAATTAATGGCACGAGGGAGAAGGAGGCTCACATCTATGCAGCTCTGTTTCACTTTGCTGCTCTCCCATTCCAACATTGTTTTGTGAATGATGTTTTGTATGTTTTTGCACAGCTCTTTTTCCTAAGTGTTCTACATGGTTCCTGCATGGTTTTGGTGACTCCTGTCTGGCTCCATGGCTTCTAGAAATCCTAGAACCTTTCTCTGCATTGGTCACGAAGTATTTCCACTGGAAGAAAAAGTTGCATTCGTTGCTCAGCCAGGCCGGAACTATCTCTGCTTCAATCTATGCTGATGTATATTTTGCTTCACATATCTGGGGGTAGCTAGCTTAATGCTGGTAACAGGATAAAAATGAATGGTACAAGCAGGAGGGCAAAGGGAGAGGGTGAAGGAGGATGAAGAGAGCCAAAACACTGCTTTTATTTATTTAGTTTTGTTGGTTGTAGGGCTTAAACTTAGGGCCTGGGTGCTATCCGTGAGCCTCTTTGTACTCAAGGCTGGTGCTCTACCACTTGAACCACAGCACCACTTCCAGTTTTTTTTTGGTGGTTAATTGGAGATAAGAGTTACAGGGAGTTTTTTGCCCAGACTGGCTTGGAACTCTGATCCTCAGATCTCAGCCTCCTGAGCAGCTAGGATTACAGCTAGGATTATACCCGGCCAACATACGACTTTTATTTTTTTCCCTTCCCCTTATTTTTTTTTTAAATTTATTTTTGGGTCCAGTCGTGGGGCCTGAACTCTGGGCCTGGGCGCTGTCCCTCAGCTCTTCAGCTCAAGGCTAGCGCTCTACCACTTGAGCCACAGCACCACTTCTGGCTTTTTTTTTCTGCTTATGTGGTGCTAAGGAATTGAACCCAGGGCCTCATACATGCAAGGCAAGCACTCTATCACTGAGCCACCTTCCCAGCCCCCTTCCCCTTATTTTTATCACTTGTTTACACAGTGGTCATTTACTTCAAGTTAAAACAAAGGCAATCTCCCAAGTTTTCCTTATGTTGTTATAAATTAAAGGCATTGCATATCCAAAAGTGAAGTCTGTTCTAGAACTAGGCAAACTTGCTTCATTGTCCCATGAAAACGTCATAACTTTTTCTTTGAGAAAAGAGGTAATGGCAGTTATCAATCTGCTCTAGAATAATTGGGGAACATAGTAAATAAGCCAACATGTTCATTGTTCTTCAGTCTGGGTAATTTCCGGGGGTAACTCAAGGCAGCTTTATATTGCTATCTGAATTGGTTTTCTCTGTCTAAATCCTGCTAGTTAAATGGAAAGAAGAGGGGACTCCTGCTCTGTCCAGTTCCCTTGAGAAGTAGTGCTACTGCAGTTGTTATTTTCTGCTTTTCTTCATGTGATGAAGTCCAAGTGAGACAGTGTATCAGGTGACGCTGGCCTGACAAGGCTCAGTCAGTCTCTGTCTCTGCAGGTGGTGACCTGCAGTGCAGGTCTGAGTAACAGCTGGCCCTTTTCCTAGTTCACCAGAATCCTCGTCTTAATGTTTAATATTCTTAATCAAATCCGGTCAAATGAAATGGTAGAGTTCACATCCCAAGGTCATAGCGTGTTTTATATAATTTGATTTTTTTTTTTTTTTTTTTTTTTTACTTCTTATCTATTTTTATTTTCTCGGACCAGATCTCACAACGTACTCCAGACTAGTCTTCAGCTTACCTATGAAGCCTTTTGCTGGCCTCGAACTCACAATCCTCCTCCCTCCACTTCCTAGTCCCTGGTAAAGAGTAATTTTGAACCTAGGAAAGTCTGACAGTATAATTCGTCTGTTCTTCACTGAATACTTTGGGGGAGATTTAGTTTGTGGAAGGGTGTCGTGGGGGTGGTCTAGATGGAAGTTAAAATCGTGTGCTAAGCAGAGCTTGTTTCACACGCCCTTGTAGAAAATGTGCAGGATGTCAGGGGAGACGTTGATGGCAGTTCTGCTAGTCTGGTCCACTCACCCACATCCCACACGCTTTCTCCTGCCCCACCCACTGCCACTCTTGGGATCGTGTTCACACTGACATTTGCCAATCCTGTTTTACTATCTGGACTCCATCTTCTGAGGAAGGCGGTGCCTTTCATTGAGGAAGCATTGGATCCACACCAGTGACTCCTGCTCTTAACTCTGTTAGCATCACTTTTAGCAGTTCTCTTCTCTGGGTCCTGTAGAGAGGCTGGGGGCTGATCCTGGCCCTGATGCATTGGAAGAAGCCTGCGGGAGAAGCCCCGAGAGACACGGGCATGGTGGAAGAGCCTGACAGGTTTCTGAGATGAGCAAGGAAGACGGACTAGAGAGAGATCCCTAAGCCCTGATGTGTATGTTGATGTCATTTCTGGGTGAAGTATTTTCTTATTTCCTTCTCTCATTTTCATTTTTTGTTGGGGAGCCAAAGAAACTAAAAGAATGTAAAAGATAACAGCTATTTTTTAAATTGAATACATAAACTGTCTCATTAGGCATTCGTTCATTCATTTTATTTAGTGCTGCTACTGTGGCTTGAATTCAGGACTTCATAATTTCTAGGTCCTTTTTCTCAAGGCTGGTACTCTTCCACTTGAGCCACACCTCCACTTCTGGGGTTTTGCTGGTTACTTAAGAGATGAGTCTCTTAGATTTGTCTGCCTGGATTGGTTTTGGACCACAATCCTCATATCTCAACCTCTTGAATCGTTAGGATTACAGGTATGAGCCACCAGCACCTGCCCCATTACACATTTTATAGGGCATTTATTTGAACTTCCAACAGTCCTGACAAGTTGGGACCTTCCTCCCCTTGCTGAGAACACAAAGGAGTTAGACCAGCAGCCTGAATATTTTTTTGTCCTTTTTAGTTTGGA